ACAAAAAAAAAAAAAAAAAAGATTATTCAGTCCAAAATAGCCAGAATGTCCATCTTTCACTTGGGTCCACTGGATGCAAATATATTTAGAGTGCAAAGCACACGCGCGCGCGCACACACACACACACACACCTCTTTCAAGAAAAGGAAAGTCTTTAAAATTTTATATATACTTGGCTAATAGCCAGCTACCAAATCTATTGTATTTCTTCTCTGATTAACATGCTTTCATTCATTATTTCTAGTTCTTCCATTTGAATCCTTGTCAACACTTCCCCTCACAACCCCAATATTGCCCAAATAGTTTTAGAGAGACCGGAGAATGAGTAAAGTTCATTCAGTTATTTCAGGACATGGCACACATCAATAGTATCCACTTATTAGCCAGAAAACTGGCTCCATTGCTCAAGAGAACTTCTTGGCATGTTCATACACCTGCTGAGACCTCAGTATAAAATAAAACAAAAAAGCCTCAACTACTCTGTTTCTCAATTTGTTTTGATAAACCAGAATTATTTCTAAAGTTCCCAAATAAACAGAAATCATTATAATTATGAATAATTAACATGCTAAACTCAAGAGGGCACTCAACATTCATTACACTGTAGAATTCGTCCCCTAAGGGTAGTACCTTCAATTAGTTCAGTTTTTACAACAGAAGAAAAATGTGACAATCAGTAATTGCAGACACTTAGTACAAAGGAACAAAACAAGCTAACTAATCACCCTCTCTCAGCCAGCAGAGGCCCTGCTCTCTTTTAGATTCTTAACATTTGTGCTACTTCCAGAACACAGAAGAGCAATAGATAATAGAAAACACACTGCCTTCAAAGATGTAAGTAGATGCACTTCAGCTTTATCAGCTATTCTAATAGAGCAGGTTAAAGTAGAAGGTAAGATATAGCAATCAATGGTTTTAAAACAGCATCTTTTAAAAGACGTTTTATAAAATATATCAACATATTTATTCACTCAATTTACAAACATTTATTAAGCACTTACAATGTGTCAGGGTAAATGTGCTAAGTGATAGTTACATTGTAGTACAGGAACTAGCCAATGTGGAGAAAAGGGAACCCTAGTAAACTGTTGGTGGAATGTAAACTGGTGTAGTCATTATGGAAAACAGTATGGAGGTTCCTCAAAAAACTAAAACTAGAACTACCATATGATCCAGCAATTCCATTCCTGGACATATATCTGAAGAAACAAAAACACTAAATAAATAAAATAACTAACTAACTAAATAACTAACTAAATAAATCAACTATAATTTAATAAAAAAAATGAAGACTGAAATATAAGAAAAAGAACAAGCCAATGATTTCTTTAAATAAATACACATTTTTAAATACAAATTTGAATATAGCAACACATTTGTATATTCTTACAAATATAAAGTTTGCAGTATATTTATAAAATGAAGCTATTCAGTGTTATTCCTCAAATTCAACTGCAATTGAAATTGCAATACATCATTTTAATTAAAAAAATTAAATCACAAAATTATTTAGATTTTCTTCTTCCTCGGTCTCCTCTATAAAAATCATTAAAAATTTCAACCAAAATAGATCCACTTTCTTTTGCAGCAATAAATGCTATTACAATTATTAGGGGTTTTATCAGGCACTTATAGAACTAAAATATAAGTCAAGTTGAAAATGGTTTAGCAAATAGTAACTACAGTTGTGTATGCAAGTAGACATTTTTGCTCTGATTCAATATCAAATTGACAACTATGACCCAAGAAAGGGTTATCTTTTATTAGCAGCCACTTTAGGGAGGTACATTTTATCTTCCATTGAAGTAGAGGAAAGAACTCATTAGATATGTGGTACAAGTGGTTTCAGCGTGATAAATCTCAAGTTACCAATTCCACTTTTAATGATTAGTTGCCCGAGTCCTGTATTTAATTAAAATGGTTATTTTAAATGCTTATATTTAACTTAAACATAATTAGCTAAACCTCAATGTTACTGCCTCATCCATTTTGAAATTAATTTACAAAATAGCTTAAAAAGTGCTGTAACATTTTAATATTAAAATAAATCATGATTAGTTTGTATCTTTTGTTTGTTTCAGTTGTGAACCCACAGTGAGCTGTTTATATTAGGTATGACTGAAGGGTCTCTGGCATGGCTAACATGTAGTAGAATCAAATATTGATATGCCTTTCATGTTTCCTTTATACATGTGACATATACTTTAACCTCATAGGCAAAAATAGTCTATAGACAGGATATGATTATTTAAACTTTAAAGGGATCTAAATATAAATTAATTTTGGCCTTAATACATTTAGGAGGAACCACTGTTTTCGGCAGATGATTCATAAGTGTGTAACAATCACTGTAACAAAACTTCCTTTGTGTCAGTCTGATAATACATTCTGATTTTAACTTCTATTTAAACAGACAACATGATATATATATAACTTAATTAAAAGGTGAAGGTAACACATTCGGCTGGCCTATTAGTAACTAAAATCTGTTCTTCCCAATATTAATATCTTTTCATACCAATATATGCATAATTTTCTAATATTTTATTAAAACCTGGGCCTTCTACTCTCCAATGAGTGCTTATAGTTGGGGGAATCTGTTTCTACCTAACATTAGCTCAAACCATCTGCACCCTTCTCCACCCCTGGCCCCGACCCTTTAGGAATTTTAATTCCGAACATAAAATCTGACTCAGCTTACACATCAGGTGAAGCTGTGTAGAATATATCTCCTCTTTTCACGCTAGTACTATTACGTGGCATTCCAGGATGCCTTCAAGCTATACTGTACCTCAATTACCTCAAATGCCATCTGCTTCTGTTTCTTTCAGTCCTTCTCCCTGGTTCCCTAAACAATGAACAATAGACATTATTACTCAAGAGCTAGACTTAGGCTCATTCTCTGCAAAGAATGTAGGTAACATATACTAATATCCCTCCCGTTTAGATAAGACAATATGAGATTGTGATCAAAGCCAATTATGTATTGATTTACCATTTATCATCTCAACTATCAACCATTATCTTAACTCCAAACATCCTCAGAAAGTCCAAAGGATTGTAACTGTCTCAAAGTAATCACAATGGAGAGGGACTATTTGAGAACCAGGAAGGTACATCTGCTTTGTTCATCTTGCTCAGGCCTTTAAATACCATCTGTTTTCCATTCTTTTCTGGCTACCATCTTCCCCTAGGCTAAAAGATTTTTAAATGACTGGGGAAAAAAAAAAAAACTTGAGAAACTAGTTTGAGATTTTAATTCAGCATTTCATCTGCCAGACAGTGAAATGCAGTTAGCCGCAGCAAGTGTTCTTAATAGATAAGGGAATTGTTGCTTCACATATAATTACATTGAGTCTAACGGTAGACGTAGCCAGCCATATCATCTTCATACTATTAGAAGTGCTAGTAAGTCTGAAAAGAATCCATTTTGAGGAGGGTCAGAGCTACTTTTATTTTACTTCAAACCAGGGTTATCATGGAATAAAACTGATAGTTCTTTTGGAGGAACAATTTTTGGTATACAAGAAAAAAGTATTAAAGAGTAAATGAAACTGACTGTTGTGACTGGCAGGAAGTTCAGGCATTTTGTGCACTTTTGTGTTTGCTTTGGAATGTTAAACAGGTTGGGTTCTTTTAGAAAGAAAACATTTTATTCAGAACATTTTCCCATGAAAGCCGTCTTTGACAAAGTGTCATTTTCTGATATATTAGTACGTGTATGCCCACATTTTATATTCAAAAAAGGCAAGCAATGTTTTAACAACTTTTGACAAGCATGGGGAATTAAACTACCACAGAACCGACTCTCAGTGTAATACTATAAACTGTTATATTTCCTATTTCGTACTTCTTCATGGCAGGACACATTTTAATTATATAAATTTCTGGTTGAAGAAAGAGACATTGAAGATGAGT